AGCTCCCGGACGACAAGAGTCCTCTGCACCCACCGGGTCAGCTCCAACTCCAGAACCAGAAACTCCAGCTCCAACTCCAGCTCCAACCCCAGCACCCCCAGAACCAGAAACTCCAGTGCCAACTCCAACTCCAACTCCAGCTCCAACTCCAGCTCCAACTCCACCACCCCCAGAACCAGAAACCGGTACAGGAACAGGCGCAGCACCAACCTCTCGAGAGCTAGCACCTGCGGCACGCTGCGAGGAGGACTGTGGGGAGGGAGGCTACACCGGAGAGGCTACCGAAGGAGGAGGGGTAGCCTGGGACACACCCGACGGGGCTGGACCAGGGGGGGGAGGCTGTACCGGGGGAACAGGAGGGGGAGCGGCAGTCAGGAAGAGGGGGGGAGGAGGAACCTGGAGACCTCGACTGGGGTACCTGACGTAGTACGGAGTGGACTCCTCGAAACGGACGTCACGGGAGTCAAAGAACCGGTGAGAGGGAGGGTGGTAAAAGGTGAAGTCAGAGGAGTCCTCAGGGAAACCAAGGAAGACACAGGGGACGGCACGAGGCGAGAGCTTGTCCGCGGAGGTGTCGCGGACAAGAGCCAAGCACCCCCAGACACGAAACCGCGACGCAACACCAGGGGACCCTGTCCAAAGACTGGTCGGTGAAACCTCTGGTCGAGAGACACGTGGCCAGAGGTTCAGCTGGTGCGCGGCGTACCTGACCGCGTAGGGCCACAGAAAATGGGGGGCACAGGCGTGAGTCAAGGAGGTGCAGGCGATCTCCATGACCAGGCCTATGCGGCGCTCAGCAACCCCATTCTGCTGTGGGGACTCTGGAAGCGTCCAGGACTGACGAATGCCCTGCTCGCGACAGAATCCAGCGAGAATGCCGGAGCGAAACTCACCCCCACGGTCGGAGTGGAGGCAGCTGACACGACGACCACGAGTGTCCTCGGTGGTGAGCAACCACCTGATCAGCGTAGAAGTCACCTCAGACTTCTTCGCCAGAGGGAACACTGTGGTGTAGCGGGAGAAGTCGTCAACGACCACCAGAAAGTAGCGCTCACGCTCAGGGCCTAGACGAGGGGCGGGGCCCCAGACGTCCAAGTGAAGCGTCTCAAAAGGCTCGGTGGCCGGACGAAGGGAGGAGGAGTGAGGGGCGGCGCGCAGCCGACCCTCGACGCAGGGACGACACGGCGGCGCAAGCGAAGGCGGCAGCGACGGCAAGACACGTGGGAGGCCTAGGACAAGACGCTGACTAGACATAGCGCGCAGACGTGGAAGGGACGGGTGCCCCATCCGGTGGTGCCACAGAACGGTGGGGTGGCCAAGCGTCCGGCAGGAGCACGACGCAACGACTGGAGCAGACGTAGGAACCTGACACGACACAGACACCTGGGGGGACGAAGCAACCTGGTGAGACGCGGGGACCCGAACGGGGGGGGGAACCGGGGGCAGTGGCAGTAGGGGGGGCTGCTGGTGCGACCGCTGGTGCAGCTGCTGCTGCTGCTGCTGCTGCGGCTGCAGCTGCTGCTGCTGCTGCGGCTACTGCTGCGGCGCACGCGGGCCAGTGTGAAGAGTGTAGAGACCTGAGCCCGGCTCAGCAGTAAAGGTAGCAAGAGGCTGGTAAGAGTCTCCGTCAACACACACCGCAGTCTCTCCAGAAGGCTCAAACCACACACCCACGTGCTGACTCACGAGGGGTCGCACGCCCACCAAGTTCCGGGAGAACGAGGGGACGTGAAACCCAGTGAGAGACCCGGAGGGAGCAGCAGGACACGGTAAAGTGGTAGTGTGACGTGCAGTGACTAGTCCCGTAGTGGGATCAGCGAAAGCCACACAAACAGGCGCAGGAAGTGGTGTAAGTGTCGTGCTGTCCCGGAAGAAGCAGTGTGAGGCTCCAGAGTCCAGCGTGAACGACAGCGAAGCGTCCTCTGAGGTAGTCGCTGGTCTAGAGTCTACACAAGAACCTACACTAGCAACAGGCAACTGAGCAAGACTAGCACCTAAGCTAACAACACCGGAGTAAACAGAGTCAGAAACACTAGAGTCAACAACAGCATACATAGCATGAGGAGCACCAATCAGATCAACTAACTGCTCAGCAGACATGCCCCACAGAGCGGAGCCGTAGCGCTGAACCAGAGGAAGCCAGTCAAGAGCAGGACCGCCAACCCTGTAGGCCAACCGGACCGTGTCAGTGAGCTGAGCAAAGCACTGACCAGGGGGGTGAAAGCGGCCACAAGGGTGGCCCCGACGAGGACCTGTCAGAACCTGATAGGTGCAGGGAGGGTAAGAAGCACCGCGCTGGGGCTGACGCAGCCCCGACCCCGGAGCCAGCTGCTGACGCTGCTGCTGCTGAGGCTGGCGGGAGGAAAGGGGCTGCTGCTGCTGCTGAAGGTGCTGCTGACGCTGAGCCTGGTACCACGCCGCTGCTCCACCTAGCGGGGTCGGCAGTACAGGAGGCGACTGACGAGCTCGGGGGTCGCCGCCACCAGCAGGCGCAGTGGAGTCACCAGCCGCTGCACGAGGGGTCTCTCCAGACGCTGCACTCCCACCACCGCCAGTCGCAACAGCACCCCCACTACCTCCGCTACCTCCACCTCCACCTCCACCAGAACTACCTTTCTTGCCCCCCTTGCCGCGGGACCGCGACGCAGTCGTAACAGCAGCCGCAGTCGCGTCAGTAGCGGCAGTGGCGAGAGAGGCAGTGAAGGTGGGTAACTGCGGGACTGTGCACCCGTGGAAGAGTGGGGGGGACACAGTACCAGAGGCGGCAGCTACCGAGCGAAGGTTGCTCTCGACGTCCTTGAGTGCAGACTCAAGGACCTCGATAGTCGGCTCACTAGGGTGCTTCAGCAGAAGCGCGTCACGAACGGAGGCTAGGCGGTCAGGGAGGCTAGTGGCGATGAAATAGACAGTAATCGCCATGGGGGGAGGAAGTAGTGCAAGCTGTGCCTCAGTGCAAGCAGCGCGGTAACTAGCGTTGAGCGAGCGGAGGTGAGCGATCAAGTCAGCAGAGCGCTCAAACGAGGCGAGATCAGGAAACAGGAACGGGAGGAAAAGACGGCCAAGAGAGACAGTAGCGGGAGTAGAGTAGCGGGCCTTAGTTGCAGTGAGGTACGCAGCAGCGGTGCGAACCTGAGTAAAGTGGACCTCCTCTGACTCAGGGAGGAGGCTGCTGAGTGCGATGCAGGCCGCAACGTCACGCGACGTCCAAGCCGTCCGGTCAGCGCGCTGACGGGCAAAGCGAGCCGTAGCAGCGTCGTCAGGGGCAGAGCCTAAAGCTGTAGGCTCGGGGGGCTCGGGGAGGTCACCAGTAGCGTGCGACCAGAGGGTCTCGCCCCCCTGGACCTGACTCTCTAACAGACGGCGAGCGCGAAGAAGCCAGACGGAAAAGTCAAGTGGTCTACCGTCAGCGTCGAAACGAAGAACTCGCAGAGTCGCCATAGTGAGAACTAACGCGAACGAACAGGCGAGTAACAACCGGGGAGAAGAGGCAAATTAGGGTTCAGGTGGGAAGGGGACTCAGTCGCAGCGGAAGAGCGGGCTAGGGCGACGAGCCAGGGCGTAGGGTAGGGCGACGGGCTAGGGCGTAGGGTAGGGCGACGGGCCAGGGCGTAGGGTAGGGCGACGGGCCAGGGCGTAGGGTAGGGCGACGGGCCAGGGCGTAGGGTAGGGCGACGGGCCAGGGCGTAGGGTAGGGCGACGGGCCAGGGCGTAGGGTAGGGCGACGGGCCAGGGCGTAAGGTAGGGCGACGGGCCAGGGCGTAGGGACGGGACAGGGCGACGCGACGGGGCAGGGCGGCGCGATGGGGCAGGGTGACGGGACGGGGCAGGGCGACGCGACGGGGCAGGGTGACGCGACGGGGCAGGGTGACGGGACGGGGCAGGGCGACGCGACGGGGCAGGGCGACGGGACGGGGCAGGGCGACGCGACGGGACAGGGCGACGGGACGGGGGGGAAAGGGCGGGCACGACGTGACGAGGGGAACGAGCGCGACGCGACGGGGGGAAAGAGCGCTAGGCGACGGGGGGAAAGGGCGCGACACGACGGGGGGGGGGGGGGGGGGGGTGGAAAGGGCGCTAGGCGACGGGGAGAAAGGGCGCTAAGCGACGGGGGAGAGGGCGCTAGGCTCGGTACTAGGCGCGGTAACAACGGAACCGGTACGGACGAGAGGTAGGATCAGGCTCGGGAGGGACGAACGGAGAACGGAGGAACGGGATCCCATAGGATCCTAACCTAGCTGATACCATGTCAAAATGAGGAATGATGATGCCATTGATGTTGGTTGGGGTACATATAACAAACCCTAACTTCTGTACCCCCTAAGACAAAGCTCACTACAGGCTACAACATTTGACAATGCCGCCCCAGCTCACAAGCTCATCCAAAGCCCAAGTTGGATTGTGACTGTGAACAGTGCGCCGTTGGCCCCATACATATGCCATGGGACGGGCCGATTCACAACAACAGTAAACAACAGTTTTTTCCTGGCTAGTTATGGATGGAAACACCATCACTCTGAGCGGGGGAGGGCGCGGCCCGTCAGTCGCAATCATAGCCGCGTTCGCCGCCGCAGCGTCAGCTGTCAGCCTCTCCTTGATCGGACTGCGCTGTCTGCGTCAATGGGCCAAACGCGCATTCAAATGCTAGTCGACCAGCAATGGGCGGCGGCGTTTGTCGTGGCGCAGCGTTTTTACCGGCGAGAAGCACGGCGGCGCGGAAAGGGAGCAGGAGCGCGTGGCTCATCTGATTCCGCTAGGAGAACGATCGGCGAGTTCGGGCAAAGTGAAACGGATCGAGCGATTCGGCGAATACGTGGGTGCGTGCTCGGCGTCCGCGTCGCTGACGTAGTAGGGAATGGAGATTAATCGCTATCTTAGTGCGCTTAAATGTCAGTGCATACTCGGGTCGGGTGGGTCGATTTCGGGCTTTCGGTTGGGTCTGATGTGGGACGACCCGGAAGTGACCCTATCAAGGATCCGGAACGATACTCGGGGTTTTGATAATGGGACTTGCAGTCCTCGAAGACTCTTTGTGTCGTCCCAGGTATGCATCAAATTGTGTATTGCGAGTGTGAACATGCGGGCGATTTATTGTGGATGAGAGTCCCTATTTTGGATGCGTGGGTGTTGCAAACGTATGGGCTAATTAAATTGGTTGTGAAGCTGAGGGTTCTTGTACTGCTGGATGACAATAGCACAATAGCGGCGACGTACTGCGCAGTGGTGTACAACTCCCGAAATGTGCGACTCGCGAAATGTACATTGACGCGGGAATGCAAAATGTGAGGCCCGTGGCATGAAATGAGCGGTGCGAGCCTCAACACCCGCAGAACTCGCGTTGAGCAATTCGTGATTTATTCGTGACGAAGGGGTCTTTTGAGAGCTATTTGTGACTTTTAGTACGCTTTTCCGGAAGAAAACCTCCGGCTGTCGAATTCGCGGAGCTGAGTTTTCCGCGATGGTATTGACTACGGTAGTCATATCGCTCCAGTCTCAACCCACTGTCCCTCTTCGCCTTTTTTTTTCCCTACCCTTTTTCCCTTCCCCCTGCCGCCCCTCCTTCCCCCTTTCGCCACGCACCTTCCCTCTCCACCATGCCCCGTCCCCGTTCTGCCACTCCCCCTTTTCCCGTCCGCCGCTCCGCTTCCCCCTCCGCCAGTGCGCCAGCTGGGGCTGCCCACGGACCTGGCGGCGGTGGCGCTACTGGCGCAGGCGGCGGACGACTACGTGCGGGGCGATAAGAGCACATCCGATAAGAGCCGCGCCAACCTGCTCGCGCTCGTCGCGCAGACGGGGGGTGGGCGGGTGATGGGGAAGGGGGAGGCGGGGGTGGAGGCGGAGGCGGGGGAAGAGGGGGGGGCGGGGGAGGAGGCGGGATTAAGGCGGGGCTCAGAGGAGTTGGGGGAGGAGCTAGTTGCGGAGCTGGACGCGTGCATGCTGTCTTACTTTGGCTTCCACTGGCCGCACTCCGCGCTCATGATCGAACAGGTGCGTGGGAGGGCATGGGGTGGGGAGAGGGGCAAGGGGAGGTGAGGAGGGGACAAGAGGAGGGGAAGAATGAGACTCAACTGAATTGCTGACTCTACGGGGAAGAATGAGGAGGGCCGGACTCTGCGGTCATGTTGGAACAAGTGGGTGGGAGGCAAGGGAAGGCAAGGCAGGGGATGGAATGTCAAGACAACTCAAAAGTTATTGGCAGCACATGCATCCCTACCAACCCCGTGCGCCCATCCCCGTGCGCCCATCCCCGTGCGCCCATCCCCGTGCGCCCATCCCTGTGTTCCCATCCCCATGCGCCCATCCCCATGCGCCCATCCTCATGCGCCCATCCCCATGCGCCCATCCCCATGCGCCCATCCCCATGCGCCCGTCCCCATGTGCCCGTCCCCATGCGCCCGTTCCCCTGCAGGTATTCCGGGAACCAAGCAGCAAGCTGCACTTGAGGGACGTCGTTTATGCCGTCATTCAGTGAGCCACCCTCTGTGCGTCTGTGAGTCTGTGCGTCTGTGAGTCTGTGCGTCTGTGAGTCTGCATCTGTGAGTCTGTGCATCTGTGAGTCTGTGCGTCTGTGAGTCTGTGCGTCTGTGAGTCTGTGCGTCTGTGAGTCTGTGCGTCTGTGAGTCTGTGCGTCTGTGAGTCTGTGCGTCTGTGAGTCTGTGCGTCTGTGAGTCTGTGCGTCTGTGTGTGTGCGTGCCTCTCCAAGTAGCTGCTATTCTCTTATCCAAATAGATGCTACTCACCAACCCCACCTCAGCGCTAAACAAGGATGAAAGAAAAAGAGTGCGACCTAACTTCACCCTCTCCCTCCACTTCTCCTCCCCCCGCCCCTCTTTGCAGGCAGAGGCGGTTCAACGAGGCCATAACGTGTCTGCGCCCGCAGCACCGCTTCTCCCAGCTGCTTTTGAGGCGCCTCAAAAGTCGCCCGCAGCAGCGCTTCTCCCAGCTGCTTTTGAGGCGCCTCAAAAGTCGCCCGCAGCAGCGCTTCTCCCAGCTGCTGCATAAGATGCAGATCCTCGGCTGCTGCACAAGATGCAGATCCTCGGCTGCTGCACAAGATGCAGATCCTCGGCTGCTGCACAAGATGCAGATCCTCGGCTGCTGCACAAGATGCAGATCCTCGGCTGCTGCACAAGATGCAGATCCTCGGCTGCTGCACAAGATGCAGATCCTCGGCTGCTGCACAAGATGCAGATCCTCGGCTGCTGCACAAGATGCAGATCCTCGGCTGCTGCACAAGATGCAGATCCTCGGATGCTACCCCCGCCTTGAAAGAGCGGGGGAAGCTGGGGGTGCGGGCGGGGTGGGGGGAGCAGGGGGAGCAGCGGGAGTGGAGGGGGCGGGAGGAGCAGTGGAAGCGGGAGGAGCGGGGAAAGTTGGGAAAGCAGGAGAGAGAAAAGGGGGACCGGGGCAAGGGGAAGCGAGACAAGGGGGAGTGGGTGAGGAGGGCAGAAGATCAGAAGGCAAAGAACTAGTGGGTACTGGCTCTGAGAGGGGTATCGGCCATGAGGGTGGCACCTACTCCCCCCCTCACTCTATCTTCCAGTTCCCCACTTCCTCCCCTTCTAACTCCCCCTATCACTCTCCCTCTCACTCTCCGTCTCGTTCTCGCTCGCCCTCCCGTCCGCGTGCTGCAAGTGTGGAGGTCTCAAGGGAGGGGGAGGTGATGGTGCCGGCAGCAACGGCGGTGCGCTCGCCCGTGCTGCTGCTGATTGGGGGAGGCGGGGGCGCCTGCAAGTCAACGGTTGTGAAGGAAATCATGAAGCGGTGGGTTGAGGGATAGGGTGAGTGTGTGTGCTAAGGCAGTGCGCTCCCCGTGCTGCTGCTGATAGGCGGAGGCGCGGGCGCTGGCAAGTCAACGGTGGTGAAGGAGATCATGAAACGGTGAGGGGAATGAGTGCTGTGAGAGACAGGGTAGTGGAGTGGGGTGTTGAGGGATGGAGTGGGGTGTAGAAAGATACAGCGCTTGTGCTATCACGGGTTATTTTGACGCAATGGCTATGTGCGGGGCATGGGCGTTGGCAAGTGAATGGTGGTCTAGGAAATTATAACACCTTTTGGGCGCATGGCGCCACACGCGGCGGTGGTTCATTTCGACGCCTTCAAGGAGAAGGACGCACTCTTTCCAGCGTTCTCATTCGCTTCTTATTTTCTCCTTCCGCCCCTCCCCTCTTCCCCTCCCCCCTCCTTCGCCCCCTCTTCCTCAGCATGGCGCCTTTTGCAGTGGTGGTTGATTCCGACGCCTTCAAGGAGAAGGACGCAATCTTCCGAGCTCTCTCTACTGACCGGCTGAACGACGCTGCCCGCATCTCACAGCTGGTCCACGAGGAGTCGACCCGGGCGGCGCAATCAACGCTGGTAACCGCGCTGAACGAGGGGCGCGATGTGATCTTTGATGGGACCATGTCGTGGGCGCCGTTTGTGCAGCAGACGATTGCAATGGCTAGACGGGTGCATGAGAAGAGATTCAGGATGGGCCTGGGGTATCAAGTGAAAAAGGATGGGAGTGTGGTGGAGCGGTATTAGGAGGAGGTGGAGGAGGAGGAAGAGGAGGAGGAGGAGGAGGAGGAGGAGGAGGAGGAGGAGGAGGAGGAGGAGGAGGAAGAGGAGGAGGAGGAGGTGGTGGTGGTGGTGGTGGAGGATGAGAGTGTGGTGGAGCGATATTGGGAGGAGGTTGATGAGGAGGGGGAGAGTGATAGAAGAGTGGAGGAGGGGAGGGAGAGAGGGGAGGAGGAGGGGAGGGCAATAGAGGGTGGAGAGGGGATGGGCAGCGAGAGAGGGGATGGGGAGGAGGAGAGGAGGAAGGAAAATCCAGGAAAGGAGGGTCAGCACCGGCCGAAGGGGCACACCAGTCCTAGGAGGGCACTGGGATCAGGCAGGGGAAGCTACTGGAACAGCGAGAAGGGGCGGGGGTAGTGGCAGGGGCGGGCGCAAGGACACGGGCAAAGGCAGTGGGAAGGGAAGGGGGGCATGGAAGGGACACGGCAGGGAGGGGGGATGTGCTGGGAGAGGCGGGGGCAGAGGAGGGGCAGTGAGCAGCGGCTGCCGTATCGCATCGAGCTGGTGGGCGTGATGTGCGATGTGCACCTGGCTGTTGTGCGCGGCATGCGGTGAGACGTGGGAGGAGGCATGGGTTAAGGGATTGCATGAGAATGGGAATGGGCGGCAGGGAGGAGGCATGGGTTAAGGGATTGCATGAGAATGGGAATGGGCGGCAGGGAGGAGGCATGGGAATGGGCTTGCGGTGCTGGTGGGCGTGATGTGTGATGCCCACCTGGCTGTTGTGCGCGGCATGCGGTGAGTCGTGGAATGGTGTATGGGGTGGGGTAAGGCATGGGGCGTGGGGTCGGCCAAGGGGTATGGGAGGCCAAAAAGCTAGGAAATGCGGAGGGGAGGGGAGCATTGTTGGGGCAAAGCACACACACACACTCACACACAATTAGTAGTAATTATACTAACAACTATTATCACTGTAATAACATCATCCTTTTTATTTGTGGGGTGACTTTTCTTTTCCTAAGCGTCCAGATTTTTCTTGATTGTTCAGCGTCGGACACTAGGGGCCTGAAACATCTACGGTAACTATCCCAAGTCTCTCCCATCTGGGCCTTCCTCTCTGCCATCCCGGGTGGGCCATCCTAACAACGACAGGAGTGCCCGTGCATGACCAGCTGCAGTCGCACAAGCTGTCCCACCCACCCCCTGTCTTTCCACGTCATGTTCTCCTTCCCTTAACCGACCCAGGCGAGCCATTTTGACCAATAGGGGAGTGCCGGTGCACGAGCAGCTGCGGTCGCACAAGCTGTTTGCCAGCAGTGTGGAGGCGTACTGTGACCTCGTGGACGTGGCAACACTTTATCCAACTAATCACATGGGGGGCCCGCCTCAGGTTAGTGGGAGTTGATGCAAGTCAACGTGAGTCAATGCCAGTCAATGCAAGTACAGCAGCGTGGAGGCGTACTGTGACCTCGTGGACGTTACGACAGTTTATTCGACTAATCACATGGGCGGCCCGCCTCAGGTGAGTCAACGCAAGTCAGCGTGAGTCAATGCTGCAGTGTGGAGGCATACTGTGACCTCGTGGACGTGGCTACTCTCTACTCCACCAACCATATGGGCGGCCCGCCACAGGTGAGTCAACGCGAGTCAATGTGAGTCAACGCGAGTCAATGTGAGTCAACGCGAGTCAATGCCAGCTAATTCTGCTGAGGGCATTCGTTTCTTACCAGCTTACGCATTCGACTTCACTCTAACCTTTCCACACTCCTCTCGCTTTCCATTTCCATCTCCCACACCATCCTCACCAGCTGATAGGCTACAAGGAAGGCACGTCACCCATTACAATCACACCGCCTACAAGCACGCCACCCAGCACAGGCGCCATCTGCAGCCACCTGCTTCTGAATTCAGAGGCTTTCCACTTAGTCACCGACTTGAAACGCGTCAACCCCCGCGCCTCCTGTATACTAGAGCTGTATTGTAAGAGGAGGGTGAAACGGAGGGGGGAGGGAACGGGAAGGGGGGGTTTGGGGGCAGAAGAAACCAGTGGTGGCAGCTCGGATGGTGGTTGTCCCTGTGGGGCTGGAGAAACCGGGCAGCGCGGGCAGGTGAGGAAAATTTTGGGTCGGGCAGCACGTGGAGGGAGGTGGTACTGGCGGAGGAGCGGGCAGCACGGCAGGCTCGACTGAGGGAGGCGTTTACTGAGCTGCAGGCGTGCCTGTGGCCGGCAGCTCACAGCAACCGAGGCATCACCTCGTCTACCGGCTTCACCTCTCTGCACTCCCTGCCTTCCTCCCTCGCTTCCTCCCCCCGCCACCCCCCTCCTGCTCCTCCTTCCGCGTCCTCATCCTCCATCTCCTCTTCCTCTGCTTCCCTGGCCCGTTGTGTCAACTCAGCAGAGCCAAAGAACTTCACAGGAAAACCTATTGATTCAGCAGCACCTGGAGACCCAGAGCAGCCAGATGGTGCTGTAGGGGATATAACAAAAAATGCAAGGCAGGGTACTGTCAGAATGAGGAATGGATGTTGCATTGATGTTGGTTGGGGTACATATGACAAACCCTAACTTCTGTACCCCCTAAGACAAACCTCACTACACGCTACAACATTTGACACACCCCCATAGCCTAAGTGAGGGGTGTCTAGCAAAAACAAAAAAGAGTACGGTCACAAGACCAGTCCAAAAGAAAACAAAGCTCAGGGTGGATCACAACGTCACCACACACTCTGAGCACAAGCAACAGTGGCCACAAGGCCAGTCCAAGAGATCACAAGTATATATAGTAAGTGTACAGACGAAGCAGGCAATAAACTCAAGTCTACGCATGACTAGAACCTGTGTCAACAAGGCCTAACTGCACACAACACCTCTGGTGGTCACAAGGCGGAAGCGCCTTGGTGAAGATGTCTGCAGTGTTGGCCTCGGACTCTACAAACTCGAAGCGAGCCTGTCCACGCCTCTGCAACTCTCGCAGAAGAAAGTACCTGACGTGAATGTGCTTCACTCTGCTCTCCAGTCGCGGCTCACGACAGAGGAGGATCGACGCCTTGTTGTCAGTAAACAAGGTCGGTGCAGAGCTCGGCCGCTCACCAAGGTCGGCGAGCAAGAAGGTCAACCACCGCAACTCCTGTGCCGCCATGGCACCAGCGTAAATCTCAGCCTCAGCTGTAGAGGTCGAGACAGAAGAGGAGCGCGTGGAACGCCAGGAAACAGCTCCAGAACCCAGACTGAAACAGTACCCCTGAGTAGACCTGTGAGTCTCAGCGTCGTCAGCGTAAGAGGAGTCACAGTGACCAGTGAGTACGACAGACTGCTGCCCTCCAAGAACTAGCCCCACGCCTGATGTAGTCGCTAGGTACTTCGCCACCCTCACAGCTGCCGTCCAGTGAACAGGACGGTGTCTCCCTGGCGCAACAAAGCGCGCAAGGATGCTGAGAGGGAAGGCGAGGTCCGGGCGAGTACAAGTCATCAGGTACATGAGGCAACCCACAAGCTCTGCGTAGGGACCACTAGGCTCAAACGGCTCGTCAGGAAAGGGACCAGTGAGTCTGTGGTCAACAGCGAGAGGTGTGCGCTGTACGGTGGAGTGCTGAAGCCCGAACCGCTGAAGGACCTGCTGCACCATGTGTGACTGTGAGAGTGTAATGGTGCGAGCGGCTCTGTCCCTGGTGATCTGCAGGCCAAGGTAGTGGCGCAGCTCACCAAGATCAGTGCACGTGTGTCTCTTCTGCAGTTCGGACTTCACGTCTGCCAAAGCAACCCTGTTCAGAGTGGCGAAAACGAGGTCGTCGACGTAAACCAGAACAAAGAACGGTGTGGAGCCACGACGAACGAACAGCGACGGGTCGGCAGAAGACGGCTGGAACCCAAGGTCAGAGAGGGTAGAACGCAGAGTGTCGTGTCACTCACGAGGGGCCTGGCGAAGACCGTAAACAGGTCGCCTCAGCCTCCACTGGGTCCCAGGAGGGAAAGTGCCAGTGAAGGCCGAGGGACGACGCAACCAGACCTCCTCATGTAGGCTGCCCTGAAGGAAAGCAGTGGAGAAGTCGAGAGAGTGTAACTCGTAGTCTCTCTGTGCTGCTACGTGTAGTAACACCCGAAGAGTGGTCATCTTCGGGGTAGGTGCGAAGGTCTGAAAGAAGTCAACTCCCTCGCGCTGACTGAAACCTCTAGCCACGTAGCGCGCCTTGAAGACCGGGGGAGATCCCGGTGGCCGCTTCACCCTGTAGATCCACATGCTGTCGACTACGTTCGCCCCAGGGGGGGGAACCTCATCGACGTAGGTGCCTGTGGATCTGTAGGAGGCCATCTCTGCGTCCATGGCAGCTCTCCACTGAGAGGCCCAAGGCCCTGACACTGCCTCAGCGTAAGTGCGAGGAGTCGGAATGTCAAGGGCGTCGGGGTCACCCTCAGGGGCGAGGAGCATGGCACAGAGATGAGGGGAAGCGGCCGCCAGGAACTCTAGCTCAAACTGCCTGTCCTCTAGGGCGTCACAGCCAAGGGCAGACACACCCCCGACGGCCAGAGGACTGGTAGGAGGAGCAGCCACAAGCGTGGTGGCGTAGTCAAGGCGGCGGGTAGAGGCAAAGTTAGTAACTGCGGCAGTAAGAGCAGACACAGAGGCACGAGGGTGAGTAACAAGAGAGGCGAGAACACGAGAGAGAACAGGACGGTACGTGCGGTAGTAGTCAGTGACAGGAGTAGGGAGCGACACAGTGAGGGCCGACTCAGGAGGAGACGGAAGCACAGACTGAGACGGACGAGGTGGACTAGAAAGAAGGAAGGCAGTACGAAGGTCAGTGAAGGGAACAGGAGACGAGGGACGAGCACGAGGGGAGCGACGAGTAGCCCAAGAACGAGACGGAGGAGGAGAGGACAAAGGCGGAGAACTAGGGAAAACAGCGGGGGAGGAGTCAGGAGGAGGAAACGTGGGACCGTAGACAGGAGGAGAGGCGGAGGAGGGAGGAGAAGGGGAGGGGAGACCAAGGGTCCGAAGACCCGAGACAGGAGGAGGAAGTGGCTGCTGCTGCTGCTGCTGCGACTGCTGCTGCTGCGGAAGCGGCTGCTGCTGGGACTGCTGCTCCTGCGGGTCCAGCTGCTGCTGCTGCTGCTGCTGCTGCTGCTCCTACGGCTCCAGCTGCTGCTGCTGCTCCTCCAGCCGCTGTAACTCCCTCTCCTCTCTCTCTAACGCCAGCTGCTCGTCACGGGCACGGCGAACACGAGCCTGGTGCCTAGTCGGGTAGGGGTGGGGGGGTGGAGTAGTGTCCGAAGCAGCGGCAGCTCCAGAGTCCACCTCAGAAGAACTAGGCGCACCACCCCCAGAGGCAGCACTAACACCAGCTCCAGAACCAGGCTCACCTGAACTCGAAGGAGGCGCACCCTCACCCCCAGACGCAGCACCCCCAGTGTCCGCGCGGCCAACACCAGCTCCCAGACGACAAGAGTCCTCTGCACCCACCGGGTCAGCTCCAACTCCAGAACCAGAAACTCCAGCTCCAACCCCAGCTTCAACTCCAGTACCCCCAGAACCAGAAACTCCAGTGCCAACTCCAGCTCCAACTCCAGCTCCAACTCCAGCACCCCCAGAACCAGAAACCGGTACAGGAACAGGCGCCGCACCAACCTCTCGAGAGCTAGCACCAGCGGCACGCTGCGAGGAGGACTGTGGGGAGGGAGGCTGTACCGGAGGGGCTACCGAAGGAGGAGGGGTAGCCTGGGACACACCTGACGGGGCTGGACCAGGGGGGGGAGGCTGTACCGGGGGAGCAGGAGGGGGAACGGCAGTCAGGAAGAGGGGGGGAGGAGGAACCGGGAGACCTCGACTGGAGTACCTGACGTAGTACGGAGTGGACTCCTCGAAACGGACGTCACGGGAGTCAAAGAACCGGTGAGATGGAGGGTGGTAAAAGGTGAAGTCAGAGGAGTCCTCAGGGAAACCAAGGAAGACACAGGGGACGGCACGAGGCGAGAGCTTGTCCGTGGAGGTGTCGCGGACAAGAGCCAAGCACCCCCAGACACGAAACCGCGACGCAACACCAGGGGACCCTGTCCAAAGACTGGTCGGTGAAACCTCTGGTCGAGAGACACGTGGCCAGAGGTTCAGCTGGTGCGCGGCGTACCTTACCGCGTAGGGCCACAGAAAATGGGGGGCACAGGCGTGAGTCAAGGAGGTGCAGGCGATCTCCATGACCAGGCCTATGCGGCGCTCAGCAACCCCATTCTGCTGTGGGGACTCTGGAAGCGTCCAGGACTGACGAATGCCCTGCTCGCGACAGAATCCAGCGAGAATGCCGGAGCGAAACTCACCCCCACGGTCGGAGTGGAGACAGCTGACACGACGACCACGAGTGTCCTCAGTGGTGAGCTACCACGTGATCAGCGTAGAAGTCACCTCAGACTTCTTC